GTAATACTCGGTGGGATTTGACCTCCAGGCCAACTGGCTCTGAGAATCAGCTGTGTCTGCAGTGGGAGAACTTCTGTCCTCTAGGGAGGTGCTAATCTAGCCTTTGCCTGAGGCTATCTGGCAAATGCCTCTGTGCAGAGCTTGGGCAGGGCGGGTCCCACGAGATCAACAGGGCGGGCGGAGTGAGCAGTTATGGCTGCTCTCAGTCAGGTGCCCAGAGGCTCTGCCTCTCAGTGTCCCAGCAACCGCTGCAAACCTCGGAGAGAAAGCTGCCCTTGAGTTCCAATCGATGCCAGACAGTCCCGCTTCTCCTGTATGAGTCTGGGTCCCTAGAGACTCGCCTGGATCTGGAGCTCAGAGTCTGAGACTCCCTGCCGATTGAAACAGACAACCGCGCCCTCAGCCGCCAGCCCTCTCCGCACGCACTCCGCACCTTAGTATTTTCCTTCCGCACTGCGCCTCCTCTGAATCTCGGTATGCTTTTCTCTTTCCTCGAGTTGTGGAACTTCCACTCAGCCAGCCTTCCTGTGGCTCTGGGTGATGTCTGTTCCGTCTTTTAGTTGTATTTTTGAGGTGGTTGTGAGAGGCAGCAGTCTCCGGTGTTTACCTATGCCACCATCTTGGTTCTCTCTCCCTCAGGCTCCTTTTGATGATCTGTTACCTCTGCTGTACTTTAATGTGGTGTTTGACTGGTTCCCAGCTGCCTCCCCCATCAGACTGGATGAGCCCCTAAAAAGCAAAGCTCACATCTGCCTGGTTCCTACTGCCCCAGCCTGGGGCCTGGCACACAGTGGTTGGGCAGGAAATGTGAGCTGAGAAAACACTGTGAACTAGAATCTCAGTGTCCTGACTCCCCACCCCTGGACCCCCTCCCTTTTATTCCACATGAAGAAATCAGAGCCCAGAGAGGCCAAGTCTCAGGCCAGGAACACACAGCAGCCGCTGGTCACTGCCAGATTCCTGTGGGACTTGGAACCCCTACAGACCTGCAGGACATGAGTCCTGACTTCTCAACCCCTGGCTCAGTTGGCCACAGCCAGGAGGGGAAGTGGGCATTTTTAGGAAGGAGAAAAGTGTATAATTGGGCCATTGTGTCAGAGTTTGGGGGGTGCGGGGAGGGAAACATTGAACAGGTCAAATTCATCTTGTTGGGCTTTGGGGCGGCCACACTGTTTTGGAACATTCTGGTAGCCCCAGCTGGGAGTGGGAGTGGAGGAGGGGCGGTGGGGAAGTGATGAGGTCATGTGGCCCCGTGGAAGGGTTTGCTTCCTGGAATCAAGGGAACTTGCTGAAGTCAAGGGTTCAATCGCCTGAGCAGCTGAGAGCCCTGAGCAAGTGCAGAGACTTCTCTGGACCTGTTTCCTCATTTGCTACATGAGGTTGGTGGGGAGTGAAATGACTCAGTCATAGCAAAGGGGCCTCAGGAGCTCCCACTGAGCCCTGGGTATAGACAAGGGGGAGGGGCACCCCAGCCTGGGCCTCTCCAGCAGAGGTTCTCACAGCATATGATTCTGACCCCCAGGGGACACTTGATAATATCTGAAGGCAGTTCCTGTCACAACCTGGGGGTAGGAGGGTCTGGCACCTGGTGGGGGGAGGCCAGGGATACCATGACCTCCTACCCATTCAGGGCAGCCCCCACCAGGGAGGGCACTCCAGCTCAAATGTCAACAGTGCAGAGGTTGAGAAATCCTGCCCTAGAATGTCAGAGTGAGGCAGGAAGGAAATTGACAAGGTCCCTGCACAGAGAAATGGTCTGGGAGGGTGGGGAGTTGTGAGCAGGGGAAGGGAGGGGACAGAAGGGCCAGGGGAGCCTGTGGCAGGGATGGTGTTTGGGGGTCCCTGGGTGGTTGACCACCTCATCTGGGGACTGCGGGACCTGAGGGCAATGCAGAATTTTGGGCAGACGCAGGGGTCCTGACCCCAGTGCCATGCACAGGAAGTTTCATGGACAATAGTTGGGATTCCAGGAGAAGTTGGAGGAAGTAAGATAAGAGAGAGGAAGGAATTAGGGGGCATGTGAGGATCCAGGAGAGTGGGTGAAGGGTGGTGGCCCTCCATTTTGGAGAAGCAGGCTTTCTGGAGGTGGGGCTCTGCAGGATGAGTAAGAATTTGGGGGATGGAGGAGGGAGGTACCTTGTGACTAATGCCTGGCCTGGGTGTGTCTGCAGATCCAGGTGTGAATCCCAGCCCTGCACTTTCTGCCTGTATGTATTTAATTGATTGTTCTTTCTTTTTTGTTAAAAATATATATTTATTGATTTTTTACAGAGAGGAAGGGAGAGAGATAGTTACAAACATCGATGAGAGAGAAACATCGATCAGCTGCCTCCTGCACACCTCCCACTGGGGATGTGCCTACAACCCACGTACATGTCCTTGACCGGAATCGAACCTGGGACCTTTCAGTCTGCAGGCCGACGCTCTATCCACTGAGCGAAACCAGTTACGGCGATTTTTCTTTTTATTGATTGATTGATTTTAGAGAGAGTGGGGGAGGGAAACATTATTTTGTTGTCTCACTTACTCATGCTCTCACTGATTGATCCTTGTCTGTGCCCTTACTGAGGATTAAACCGTGACCTTGGCAACTGAGCTACCCAGCCAGGGCTTAACTGGTTTTTAGAGAGAGAGGAGGGAAGAGCGGAAGGGAGAGAGAAAGAGAGAGAAACATCTATGTGAGAGCAAAACACTGATTGGCTGAATCCTGCATGCCCCCTACCCTGGAAGGATCCTGCAACCCAGGCCTGTGCCTTGACCAGGAATTGAACTGGCAGCCTTTTGGTGCTTGGGAAGATGCACAACCAACTGAGCCACACCCACCGGGCCAGCCCTGCACTTTCCATGGGAGGGGGTGGGGAACCAAGACAAGATGCCCTCCTCCTCACAGCCTCCGTTTCCATGGAAAGGGATGGGGAACAAGAGCCTCAGGAGCTGGGTGAGGAGATAAGACTAGAATGCTGAGCACTGAGTGAGCACTGATGGGGGTGGGGGAAGGGTGACAGTCCTTTAGGGTGAATCCATCAGAAAAGAGGGCTGGGTAGGCAGTGGGGTGGTACCTGACCAAACCCTGTGGGCTTCTGGGAACATTCTGGAGCAAGGAAGCTGGTGTAGACATTAAGGGGTCCCAGGTGCTTGGGACTGACACAGTGATCCTCCAGGAACTACAGAGCAAGTTCCTTCCCCCAAAGGGGATGCTTATTTTGTGGAACCCAAAGACCCCAGAAGAAGTTACCTTCCTGAAACCTTGGCAGCAAAGAACAGATGCCCCCTCCCACTTCATCACCTGCCCGGCTTGGAGGTGTAGGGGGTGGGGGGCAGCCTTGGGTCAACTTTGAAGCTTCCCCACCTCTAAGGCTGCCCCATGAACCACCCCCTGCCACCTGGTCCCCGGCCTCCCCCTAACCGTCCCCTCCCCACAGCCATGTGCCCCTCAGAACTGCCAGGTCAGGGAAACCCAGAGGGAAACAGGCGAGTCCAGGTGGTGGCCTAAGAGACAACAAGGCCCAGTCAGACAGAACTCGCCCAACCCGTCCATGAGCCTCACCCACTCCTGCCTGGACCCCTCCCTCTGAACCCGACACAGATGGGCCTGGGTGCCTGTCGCTCCTTGAGTCAATTATTAAGCAGACACGGGGTTGAATTTTATGAAAGTTTATTAGGATGGATTGCCAACCGATCTGGGGCCAGGCTGTTATCTTTCCAATATGACAGGAAACTCTCAGAAAAGGAGCCTGGACTGCATTCTGAGGTTAATCCCCATGTCCCTGGGCCAGCACCTCTCAGCCTGGTTAGAATGTGCTTTCCCTAATCGTAAGAGAACAGTCACAGTTAATAGACATGGTTAATAGGATAACATAGCCGGTCCCCACTGCTCTATTTCTGCCCCACAGCTCCTCAGAGATTCCTCTCTCCCCAGCGCCCAGCCCTCTCCCTCCAGGAAGGCCACCACCCCAGACCCTGACTGTCCCTACCTCCTCCCATCCCTCTCCAGCCCCCTCCTCACCAGCAGGCTTCCTGGGACCTCAGGCCAGCAGAACCAGGAGGCTCAGGGGCAGGAGCACGGCAGCCATGGAGAGATGGAGGCTGACCCCGGAGTCGGGGGGGCCCTTGGCAGAGACCAAGTCCTGATTCTCTTTTCTGAGGTGGAGATTGGGACAACTCAGGAGGCTGCCAGGTCTGGCTGCACTGGTGCTGGGCTGGAAGCCCCTCAAAATCTCTTCTTCCCCACCAGTGTTAGGTCGGAGAGAGCCCAGGATCGGATACATGCAGACATGTGACGAGATAATGGACTCCCCAGGCATTTCTAACAGATCAGCATGCCAGACACAGATACTGACTCCTTCCTGAATACCTTGATGACCCCCTGCAGCTGAAACTTCCTCAGCTGAATACCTCAGCTCATGTCCCCGCCCCTCACCCAACCGCAGTATAAAAAAAGCGCCCCCTCCCTGTTGGCGTGAATCCACGTGCCCTGTCCTTGGGGGTATGTGAGTCTCCTGGGGACGCAGAATAAACTTTCCTTCCTTCCTCCCTTTTCTGATCAACTCTCTTTATTTCCTTCGCCGCCTCCTGAGCCACCTAACCTAACAACCAGGTCACTGGGCAGGGGAGTGGCCTGGGGTGGGTGGGTGTCCTGACCTTAGTTTCTCCAGCTCTGCGGATTTGTCCTGCAGCTCCGCGGATTTCTCCTGCAGCGACTGATTCAATGTCTTGATCTCCTCTAAGGAGGGACAGAGAGTGTGTGGGCACCGTAGCCACGCCCCTCAAAAGGCCCAACCCCGGGACAGGACCCCGCTTCTAGCCCACCTTCATTGAGCCAGTGCACCTTGGAAGTCTGGCATGCCCGCCCCTTCCTCCCTTCTTACTTCCACTGGGTTTGGTCCTGTCCCTCTCGCTCCCTCGACCCCAATCCTGAGGCCCTCCCCCTCCCTCCTCTTCAATACCTGACCGGCTCCTGCAAACGCCATGACTGCAACCGGGACCTGTGTTTTTCTCACCTTGAAGCTTCTGCACCAGCTCCTGTTGCTTGTGGCCCGCAGCCTTCTCCTCTTTCAGGGAAATCTTCAGGGTCTCCTGGGATGCCGGGAAGAGTAAGGGTGTTGCAAACTGGGGTTCTTGTCCTTGGTTTGGTTGACTGCTGTCCGTGGGCCCTGACCCTGTCTCCAGGCCCTGGAGTCAGAGGGGCTCAGGCCCAAACCCTTTTCAGGATTCCTGCCAACCCTCTCTGAACCTGTCTCCACCCTGAAGAATGGCCACAGCCTCCCACTCTCCAGAGTGTGATCCTCTAAATGGGAGTTTCAAGTCCCCCCTCCCTAGGAATTTGAAGGCTCTCTTGGCCCAAAGCCTAGGAGAAATGTCCAGATCCCCTGGGCTATTGTCCAAGAAGAGTTAGATGTAACCTGAAACCCAGAACACTGTGAGATTTCTGAACCCAATTTAGATGTCCAGTGGGACTTTCAAGGACCCCCACATCAAGACCCAGTTAAAATGCTGCCTCTTAGGGATCCAGTGGAAGTATCAAGAGCCCCTGCCTTGCCCTAGCCATGTAGCTCAGTTAGATCGTGATCCCAATATGCAAAGGTTGTGGGTTCAATCCCTGGTCAGGGCACATAATGAGAATCAACTAAAGAATAAATCAATAAATGGAACAACAATCAATGTTCCTCTTGCTCTCTCCCTTCCTCTCTCTCTAAAATCAATTTTAAAAAAAAGCCCCTGCCTTCTTCAGAGTCCGATGGGGTCCCCATCCGAACCCCCAGAGGGGATTTCTGCTTCTCTAAGACTGTGCTCAGGGGGAGTTCCCAGCTGCCCTAGACCAATGTCCTGGAGTTTGCAGATTCATCCACATCCTACTGGGAATACTGAGGCCCCTTATTGGGTGCTCTGGGGTCCCACACTGGCACCCCAGAGGGAGTTTAGAGCTCCCCAAAACCCTGGTGGGGAAATTCAGGCTCCCCATTCAGGGACCTAGGGGCAGTTTCAAGGTCTATCTGGATCTCCACCTAGACCCTGGGGGTCCCCAAGCACCCAGACCCTTGGAGTCCCCCAAGCACAGGGCCCTCTCTAGGAGGGGCAGTGACTTACCACAGTCTGGTTGCAAGTGGCAGCTTGGGCCTCAGTCCCCCGCAAGACTTCCTGGGCCTGGGTCAGCTCGTGCTCCAGGAGGTGGGTGTTGTTTCGACACTCCTGCTCAGCCCGGAGGCCATCCTTGCAAGCTGGGCTATTGGCCTTGGCAGCCAAAACGCCTACTGCCACAGACAGACCTACCACCACTACCAGCAGGATCCCCACAATCCCCTCCCGCACTGGCAGCTTGCGGTCCCCCATCTTCTTGGGGTACTCATCCATGAGCACAGGGGGGTGGCAGTAAAAAGTGGGTGCCATCCAGAGGGATGCACAGGAGCCTGGTTGGGAGTCCGGAAAGAAAGCTAGAACTTTCTACGTGTTGGAACTGCCCCCTTATTACCATGGGATCTATGCTGACCAATGAAAAGTTCCAAGACTGTGCATCTGCAGGAAGAGGACAGTTTAGCTTTCACTTTCATTTCCCAGAATGATAATTATGAGCTTGACCCTTCTGGGCTGGGTGCTGTCCCATGAGCTCCTGTGGGAGAGGACACCCCATCGTAAGTCCCTGCCCTTCTCCTGTGTTCCTGAAGGTGACAGCTGCAGTGACAGGAAGCCTAGGGCATGCCAGCCTCTTGTTCCTGTGGACTGTGACCTGAGAGGCAGAGCATCATTGGTCCAGTCCCCAGCTGGGGAAACTGAGGCTGAGAGGTGAGTGGTGGCCTGGGAGTGGGGAGGGCCAGGGTCTCTCCCAAGAGGCTGGCTTTGGTGTCACTCTCCGTAGTGACCCAGCAGGAGCTCCCATAGCATCCCTGCTGCTGTCTCAGAGGGGACCCTAGAGGCCATGGAGGGTGTCGGAGGAGGACTATCCTTCTGCCTCCACCGCTTAAAGCCACTCACCAGCCACAGGACCAGGATGGGATGGTCTTGCTGAAGAGCCACCAAGGAGCTTGTGCATCCCATGAGCAGGAGCCTCTCTCCCAGACCAGAAGCCCAGGTGCAAGGACACAGCCCTGGGTGAGAGGACTTGTTTGAGCTGCGCTGTGCTAGCCTTCAAATTTAGGGCCAACTCGGGACCAGCACTGCGGGTCAGAGGCCAAGGCTGTGTGTGAACAGCCCTGCCTCCCTGTGGGACTCTGGGCAAGCAATGTCCCCTCTGCCTCAGTTTCCATGGAGCTGTAAAACGGGGGTGATGATAACTAACATTTTCGGGCCCCCCTAAATGTTGCACACAAGGCAAGTGCCTTGCTCACCTCGCACTAGTCCTGGCCCTGCAAACAGGAAGTTGTGGGTTTTCCCTAGAAATCGGTTATGCCACCTTTCTTCTGGGTTTCTCTCAGTTTAAGGTCCAAGCACTTGAGACAAAGTCTGATTGGCAGCGAAGGGGTAGAATCTCAGGGGAAGTGATGAGAGTGAAGAGGCGGGTGTTGTGACCTTTGATGAGGAGGTTGATGATGCTCCCATGCCATTGGACCCCTTAGTACCAGGAAGAGCAAAGCACAGTCTGGGGATGAAAAACACATTTTCCTTCCACCGTTCTAAATTCTTCTGGCTAGACTAATAATCAAATTAACACCTGAAGGGTTAACAGTGGCAAACAGCCAGCTTTATTGCACACGACATATTATTACAGGTGACAGCTTTATTACATATTTATATTGTTCCATGAGAACCCCCAGGGCTGACTGGGCATTTGAGGCACAGGTGCCACCCAGAGCTACAGAGGGGGAGTTGTGGTTTGGGACTTGAAAGGGGAGGAAGGCAATTTCCATGGACTTGGAAAACAGATGTTTGCTGCGCCAACTTGAACAATAGGACTGTGATCAGAGGGCCTTGCTAGTGTCCTCTCCGTCCTTCCCACCCAGTTCCTATTAAACTACAGATGCCTGTGCTGAGCTCCCCTCCTGGAGCAGGTCCTCTTCTAGATCCTTTCAGGCAGTTAGGGAGAAGGACGGGGCTCTTCCTGAGGCTTTTGTTTCTTGAAAGGAACAGCTTAAACAGTCAGTATCTCCAAAGGCGTATTTGGGGCGGTCCACTCTGCTCCCCTCCACAGAAACAACAACCCAGCCAACAGGGCTGCCCAGACTCAGGGAATGTTTGTGATAATACACTCCCACCCAGCTTACATTTCTAAATATATTTTTATTGATTTCAGAGAGGAAGGGAGAGGGAAAGAGAGATAGAAACATCAGTGATGGCCCTGACCAGTTTGGCTCAGTGGGTAGAGCGTCAGCCTGTGTACTGAAGGGTCCCAGGTTTGATTCTGGTCAAGGGCATGTACCTGGGTTGCGGGCACATCCCCAGTAGGAGGTGTGCAGGAGGCAGCTGATCTATGTTTCTCTCTCATGGATGTTTCTAACTCTCTATTCCTCTCCCTTCCTCTCTGTAAAAAATCAATAAAATATATTTTTTTTAAAAGAAAGAAACATCAATGATGAATGAGAATCACTGATTGGCTGCCTCCTGCACAGCCACTACTAGGGATCGAGCCCACAACATGGCCATGTGCCCTTGACTGGAATCAAACCTGGGAGCCTCCAGTCCGCAGTACAATGCTCTATGCCCAGCACCAAACCAGCTAGGGCTACAACCTAGCTTATTGACATAGCAGCCAGCTTCCCACAAAAGGCAGGGAAAGTATGCAGGTGCGGTTTGTGCAGCTATGAAATCGGTGGGGCAATGGCTTTACTCTCACCTGCAGGAGGCAGAGAAATGAGCAATGTTCCCACACACCCTGCCCTCTGGCAGCGCCTGCCTGTGCTCAGGGAGCTTAAGGCTCTACTCCCTTCTCGGTGGGATTATGTTATTCTGCAGGGAGGCTTTGCCCAGTGAGGGGGCCTCCCTGGGCAGGTGGTGTAACAGAAGGAAAAGCTCTCTCTGATTCTATCTTATTTCTAGCCTGCATTTCTCCCATGGCCTTCAGGTCATGCTCTAGGTATGCTAATTATTAGAGAAATTCTGCTCAAAGCTTGAACTTTTGGCAAAGAATTGTGGGAGCCTCAAGACCTAATGAGACCAGCAGAGGTCACTGGAGAACTGGGTGACAAAGAGAATCAGAGAGTTCTGTGCCCTTCCTTGGGTCCCTGTGGGAGCCCAGGTGTCAACACCTCTGGCCTGTTCTCCCTTCCCTTGACACGAAATAAGCCTGAATCCTGGGCTCTCCTGAGATGGTTTTGTGGGAGCTTTAAGACCCCATTCTTCCCCAGCTGGCGCCTTTTAAAAAAATATATATATTTTATTGATTTTTTTTACAGAGAAGAAGGGAGAGGGATAGAAAGTTTGAAACATGGATGAGAGAGAAACATAGATCAGCTGCCTCCTGCACACCTCCCACTGGGGATGTGCCCGCAACCAAGGTACGTGCTCTTGACCGGAATCGAACCCGGGACCCCTCAGTCCGCAGGCCGACGCTCTATCCACTGAGCCAAACTGGTCAGGGCAGCGGTGCCTTCTTGATCAGTAAACCTTTTCTTACTCCAAGCTCTGTTGTTTTGAATATTGGCCTTTTTTGAAGCATTGGGCGCATGAACTTTGAATCGGTAACAGTTGGACCCTAGAAATCTATAGAGGGGGAACCACAAATTCCTAGGGAGGTTAGTGTTAACGTAAAAAACCATTGAAACCTGTCAAGAATTTTTGTGAGTTTATTTGAGCCAAACTGTCGACATATGCCGGGAAGCAGAACCTCAATGAATTGAGATAGTGCTCCGGAGAATGGCAGGGTTACATCCGTATTTATACATGAAATTCATTGGTGACAGATTTAAGGAGGTGGGATTAAGCGAAGCGGGGGAACCTCTGTGATAGGATAAAAAGTAAAATGATGGACACGTACTTAGGTGGGTGCAGGATCAATTAACATGATAATGAAGTAATTTGTAGTATCTGTCCTGGCGTCCAGAACATTTGAGAGGAAGGGAGAGAGATAGAGAGTTAGAAACATCGATGAGAGAGAAACATCGACCAGCTGCCTCCTGAAGGGTATGTTATCTTAGAGGCAAAAAAGG